AGTGTTTTCACTCTCCCACTCCAGCATGCCAGAGATCACACACACACACACACACACACACACACACCTTTACACAGGCCTACACACAGAAGAATGTGTCCCTGACCTCCGTCAGCAGATTTGTCTCAAACTCATTTGAGATACTGCATTAGAGGAAGTTCTGCGTCTCATAATCTACATTCAGCTCATTAACAGTCATCCAGATATATTCTCTATTTATCATTACATAGACAGGATCAGTGGAATTCATTTCCAAAATTTCACTCATTACATGGAAAACCTCCCTTAAGCAACCTGGTGTAAAATTGCCTTCCTCAAATACACCTGTGTTGGCTCATGGCTGGATCCTTGTGAAGATTGAACCAGACACATCAATATTAAAGTTTTATCAGTGTGTGCAGTCAATTTGATTATTAGTTATAATAAGGACATTGAATGTCCTTATAGTTTATGCAGGCACTCTGACTCTGATTGATCTGAAAACATAATTTCCATACAAAGTCCTTAGTGTCACCCTGCAATATAACATCAAGCGTAACAATGATCAACATAAGAATTCTCTCATCATTATCATCATTTCTGTTTCTCTGTCAAAAAAATATTTTAAAACTAAACACCACTGTAAATGACCTGTCAATCACCATTAACTGACTTTCTTCACATTATCTGATTCATTCTAGCTCAATCAGGAGGAAATGACTAATCAAAATTTCAGCCAGTGCAGACTACAATATATGCCCTTCATTATTTCCAAACCTCTCAAAATTACTTCCTGAAGGAGTTTTTTTTTAACATTATATAATTCAAAGGCTCACTATGGAATATTTTCTAATAAAATGATGATTAATTTCACACCTATTTTTTAAACATTCGTGTTGTACAAATGGATTCTGAAAAAAGGAAGTTTGATCAGTTCCACTCCAAAAAAAAAAGAAAAAAGAAAAAAGGATGACAGTAACTGAACGAAGTAAAATGAGAATATGCAAACACTTTGACAAAAACATGCTATAATTGACAGAGATGAATAATCCGAAAGACCTTGCACTATAAATAAAGAGTTTCCTTAATGGCTCTGTCTGTGATAAACAGCTGAATCATGATGAAACAGCATACAAAATTTGAACTGAATTGAGGTAAACATAATATTATACTAAACATTATGTACACAAATGATATAAGAGCTCATAACAAACCACCAACAATTGCCATGATGCAGTTCCCTGCTATAACCAGTTTTGCTCTCAAATGGAAAAGGTTTTGCTCACTCTTAAGCCAGTTTCATCCTTCCAGGGATATAAAACATGTCATTTTTGGTTCCATCTTTTCAGAGAAAATTTTTATTGCATCCAGATGCGGTTGCAAATGTATTTTAGAGAGATGTTGTTACCAGGACATGTTTATGATATGTGCTTCTGATCTCTAATAGAAGCATTGAGGGTTTGAAAGAGCAATCTGCGCACTCATCTCTCAAGAAAGTCATTTAAACCGGCTAACATTGAGAACAACAAATGTTCTTTTGACATTCAGGTCACAACTGCCACTTCCTTAGAGACAGGCCCAGTGTCGTCTTTCTCTGATGTTCTGCGTTATTGTCTCCAAAGAGGAAAGATTCTAAGCTGAAAAATTCTTCTGCTTTCCTGCGCTGTTGTTCTTTTCTACTTGTGCAGGACTGACTCAAGTTATCACAAACAGCACCAACATGGATTTTTAAGATAGCCACGTTCCTTTACCTTGCATTACTTGAGATTTTGAATGATATGACAAGCTAATGCCACCCACACGGCCAAGGCAGAAACATGTGCACTATGTCCTCAACCATCTAGTTTATGAATTTTGTATGGATATTTTGTCATCAGCTTCTGAGTCTGAAAGCCCCGCTTCTCTGAATGCATACAACATATTATTTTTTAACCATATTTTTCTTTATTGCAGAAATAGTCAGAGACGTAGTTCTATACTTCTATAATTTTCTGAATTCAGCAGAACATTGCACACTTAGTCTTTTTAGTTAAATTAGTGCATCATCCAGGTATTTGAAGTGTACTTCTTCTTCTTGGAATTTCCACACGACTCACACTATTTTACTACGAAATGGCATGCATAAGTATGCGAATTGGGACCTATAATTTATGCATGCACATGAGCACAAATGAGAGCGCTGTCAACACACTGCCAATGTGCGCTCCATTTAAACATATTGGACATGCTTTCTTGCATTTGTTTGGCTGTAACACTAAGGTCAGAGGCCGTATATTGAGCTGTCTCTGACATTATACCAGATGTGTTATTCAAGTAAACTGCCATAAACATAATAACTTATGTCGGGTATATATTACATAATTTTAGGCCCGATTTCCACTCATTGACAGTTGTCTGGAGATCAACAACAAAAGCCCGTAATTTAAGGCAAATCGGTGTTCAATCGGAGTGACAATCGCATAGTGTGAATTATCAAAGATGCGATATTTATAAATATTTAGCAGGCTCTGGACCTGTCTGCAGCTCAGAGTTTTACAGTGTGAAATGTGTTTTGACTGTAAATGACATCTACAATGACTTACTGTACAGCCAATGAGAGAGCAAGACACAGAGCGTTTGGGGAGGAGTTGTAGACTTTGTATCACTTCTTGCGCATGCATTTTGTAAACGAGACCAAGTTGGCGGGAATTCTAGTGAAAGGTTGTGTGTGATCCCCAGTCAATCTACTGTGTAATGTGAAAAACACAT